TTATTATTATTATTAAATGATTAAATGAATAAAAGTAAATATTTTGGTATCTTGTTTGTTTGTTTTTTAATTTAAAACCAAATTGAGGTGCACGCTTTCTATCTGCTTTTTGTGAAGTAAGCATTAGAAGTGTCCAAAAGCAAAGAGTGATTTATTTTCTTTCTCTCTGTCTTTCAGATGTTTCTACAGTGGATTTTGATGTCATTGATCTTCAGATTTTATCAGATGCTTTGAAGAGGTACTTTCTTGACTTGCCAAATCCTGTCATTCCAGCATCTGTTTACAATGAAATGATTTCCATAGCACAAGGTACGAATATAAAAGTTTTCCTCAGCACAAAAGTGGGTTTCTTAGAATCGTTACTACTTATAGTTCAGACATTTGATTGTTTTCAGTATGGTTGGGCTATGGAAGGCTTTATATATACTCAAAGCACAAAGTTCACATATATTACTTGAGCCTTTAACAAAGGCTATCACTCCTGCCTTATAGTTTAGCTTTTCATATTATGTGGTGTAAATGTGGTAGGAATCATGTACATCTAATCTAGGTTTCTTGGCACCTGTACTATTATGGTACATGTCGATGGAAATGTGTGTTTTATGTCAGTGCTTCCCAAGCTATCTGATGTGGGGGACCAGCAATTCCCCCCACTGTACCAGGGACTAGCATCATATAAAATTTTTGTAAAGTTTTGTTTTGTTCTCTGGAAAGTGCCCAAGGACTGGCACTACTGCTTTGACTAGCATTGTTTTAGGTAATGTACCAACATAACATTTTTAGGTGTATATTTAAAATCTTTAAAACGTAATGTACAAAACGGATCTTAGTGTTAAGAACTCAGTGTGTCTTGGCGAGTACAATATTTGTACAAACATTGGTTAACATATCAAGGATTTGTCTGTATGCAGAGAAAGCTAATTGTTAACTTTTTATCAGTGCTCATGAGGTAAATGTATTAAAAAAGGCAAGATTCTGAAGTCCATTGGCAGTTATGGGATAGAATGTAATAAATGCATATAGATAAGGCTTGTCTCTCTTAATAGCAAATTCAGTCAGTGGGGCTAAACCTTTTCGGTGATAGTTTTCACATTAAGTTGCAAATGCTAGGGACAGGATATTATTGCTGTTGTAACCTTCAAAGTTAGAACAGCACCTCTTCAGGCTTATCTTTTACATCTCAGAATTACCCAATCATGTGTGATACTAAATAGAAGGCAGACTTTTATCCATGAACAGTGAACATTTTGTGGTTTTTAACCAAGTGATATTTTGTTTCACTTTGACTTCTGTATCATTGATCTTCCCCTTGCTCCCTACATTGCTTACTAAAGTTCTCACTGTTTAAACGAAGAAAGAGACTTGGGATTTACTAGAGAGGTTAATATTTCTAATTAATATTTTTGAGGATAAGGATCTCTAAAACAATTGTTGGAAGATTTGGGGCTCATAAAGAGATATTTCTTTCCTTGCAGATGTGCAGAATTCAGAAGAATATGCTCAAGTACTGAAGAGGCTCATAAGATCACCAAATATCCCTCAACAGTATTGGCTGACACTCCAATATCTACTCAAACATTTTTCCAGACTTTGTCAGAGCTCTACCAAAAACCTTCTGAATGTGAGATCCCTAGCTGAAATTTTCAGCTTCCTCCTGTTCAGGTGCCCAGTAGCAAGGTAAGTAATGCTTACATGTATTTGGTAACTATACAGAATATTTAAGTTATTCATCATGTGTTTTAACAAATGGTCAATATTTTTACAGTTCTGACAATACTGAACACCATATAAAAATCCTGGAAGTATTAATTACAAGTGAAGGGAATGAGAGACAACCTGCACCAGGTAAGAAAATCTATATTTTGCAAATACAAACTGCATTTTATACTCGGTATTAATGATAAAGGAAAAAATCAGGTTTGAGCAAATTTTGTTTTTCATATTAAAGTGTCCCCCCCCCCTTGCCGCTTAGCACTTTCTTCCTTTCCAGAGTTTCTTTCTGAAATGGGAGGCAAAAGATATTTCCTTCCCTGATGATTGACCAGTTGGTTAACAATGGTTCCAGTTGAAAAACCAAATCACCTGTTGAAATTTGATTGCTTTTAACTGTTAGGAATAAGTGTTTCTCAGCTTAAGGTTTTTGAAGTTTTTCATAGGCGGGGGTATCGTAAAGTTTTAATTATCACCTTTTCAAAATTTGACAGAAAGTTTGTTTTTATTTGTTGTTTAACTTATCTCTACGTTGTCACTTTCCAGATTTACACATTTTTCACAGCGTTTCTTGACACACACACACCCATACCTGATATTGTAGAAGTCTGCAGATCATGCCTTACGAGGGGATATTGTAAAGTATTAATTATCACCCGGAAGTTATTAAGGTATATTGATGAAATTTTGTCAGTGTCATCATTGGTCCCTAAGTGCATGATGTTGAAAAAATCAGCTTATTGTGTCCTTTATTTTTGTGACAAGTTGTGCCAGAATTGACTAAAGTGTAAAACTCTTGTAAGGCACAATCTGCAGACTTCTACAATAATGGTATTCAGAACATCAAGAAAAACTGCGGAAAATGTGTAAATCTGGATGGTGATTCTTTAGAGATAAGTTAACAACTACAAAGCAAAACAAATTTTCTATTGATTTTTTTAAAAGGTGATAATTAAAACTTCACAATACCCCCTCGTATGTTGTCCTCACAAGGGAAGGCAGTCATAAAAAACTGTCCAGAAGATAGCTATGAGGAATCAAGGACTGTTGTTGTTGTGTATGTCCAAGTCATTTCTGACTTATGGCAACCATAAGGCAAATTTTAGGGTTTTCTTTACAACATCTGTTCAGAGGGGTCTTGCTTTTATCTTCTTCTGAGCCTGAGAGTGTGTGACGTTTCCAAAGTTATCCAGTGGGTTTCCATGGCCAAGCGTAGAATCGAACCGTATTCTCCAGAGTTGTAGTCCAATGCTTAAACTACTACACCATGCTGGCTCTCCATCAAGGACTGCTCAGTAGTAAAGGAGTGTGCTGGTATACCAAGACTGAATGTCACTGCTTATCTTGTCTGATAAAACAGCAATACAGGAGTGAAGGGAAGCTCACTGCATATTATCATTATTTAATTGCTTTTAAAAAAAACCTTAAGGATCATCAGTCCTCTTATTCCTCTGCCCACTGATCTTGGTACATGGGATAAGTACTGTTGGTAGTATTATCTGTTAAAGAGGTTTTTACCCCCTAAGAAAGAAATCTTTAGCATTGCAGCTGTTGTGATCTTGTAAAATTCCCTCTCTGTTAATATTTGTTTATTAAATTGTTCCCACCTTTCTTGAAAAAATGGCATCAAACACTATACCCATAAAACACAATGGCATTAAAACACGAACATGTCAGTAAAAAGAGACACATGCTGACAGTCCCAACTTTTTGGTCACTAGATATATCTGTTCACTGAGTCTTTTCTCGAGGTGTGATAGAGCAATGTATGTTTGGTTTTTTAAGTGTGTGATTGCTCTTGTTTTGCTTTTGTGATTGTATTTTATTATGAAATTTATTTGTAGATTGCTGTGGTGTTTTTGTGTTCAATGGTATATACATTTATACATATAGAAGTAAACTGTAGGTCATTTCAGAAAGATATTACTTCAGCATAAACTTCGCTAAGTTAGTGATATTCTACAAAACAAAACAGATGTAGCATGAAGATAATTCTACATTCAACTCACATGAAAGAACTACAAAAAAGTTACAGTTGACTGTGCAAATGTTTGTCTGATTTTTTAAAATATTTTTCTGAGCATCAACTTGGTGTGTTTGCTTTCCTTAGAAAGAGGATGTCATATATAGTTTCAAGATCTGCTTGAGTTTTAGAGAAAAATGCCATTTTAAGAACTGCATGTAAATGTAATGTAAATACATTCCATCACTTGGCTGTTGTTGTGAGCCTTCACATCATTTCCTAAAGTGAACCTATCATGGGGTTTTATTGGCAAGATTATTTGAAAGGAGGCTGAGAGCATGTGACTTGCCCATGGTTGCCCAATGGGTTTCATGGCCAAGCGGGGAATCAAACCCTGGTCTCCAGAATTGTAGTCCAGTAATCAAATCACTATGCCACACTGGCTAATATAGGGGATGATGATAGTGGTATACATTATATAATTATTATAGGGATTTCTGAGATGATGTACAGAAGAAGGTTTGCAGTATTAATCAGTTACTTTAGTTTGATAAGAAAATTGTTAGCCTGACAACCCACTTAATTTTAATCTAAGTAGATACCATGCCATCCTAGAAAAGGAATTTGTTGTACTCACAGACAATATGGGATGTCTCTGTTAAAATGGTGCCTGATATTATTGCACATGTGCATAATCTATGAAATATCTAGTCTTTATGCAGGTTAACTAGTCAAGTAGCAACCTTAAAGTGAAGTGATTTGAACATATGACCTATACTATACAGGTTTTCAGGAACAAAACCATGAGAGGCCAAAATGAAAAAAGTGGACTCTTACCAAGATGGGGCCATATCCTTAGCTCTCTGATACTGAGTGGCTTCCCTTTTATTTTCTCTGAGTAATAGAATGTCCCATTATCTGTATTAACGGTTGAAGGCCATGGAACATTTCAGCTCCCATGAATTAATTACAAAAATGTTACATTTGGCTGTATAACATTTGCTGTGTTACAGTTGCACAGTATGATACATATACTAATAAGGTACAGTAAAGGTAAAGGTAATCCCCATTGACAAGATTGTCAAGTCGTGTCCGACCATAGGGGCAATGCTCATCTCTGTTACTAAGCTGAAGAGCCAGCATTGTCAGAGACTACTCTGTGATCATGTGGCTTCCCACCAAAGTGGTACCTATTTATTTACTTGCATTTGCATGCTTTTGAACTGCTCGGTTGGCAGACACTGGGACTAGTGACAGGAGCTCACCCCATCATGCAGCGCCTGGGCCTCGAACTGCCAACCTGCCGATCTTCCAATCAACAGAGTCAGCGTCTTAACCACTTGAGCCACTGCAGACAGTAGCCCCTCCTAATTTCTGGGGATCCATTCTGGACCCCTCCACCCGAAAATGGCCCCAGTGAAAATAATGGGGTGTGTGCCCAATGGGCACGTGTGAGTGTGTGCCACCATTATATCCCTCATCACTTGTACCTCCCACGAAGAGCGGGACCATGGACTCAAAATCCACGAATGGGGAGGGACAACTGGACTTGTAAAATAGCTTTACAAAAATCATCTGTGCAATGTATCTATTTGCAGCTTGCTGCAGACATATGTAGAATATAGGAACAGCTAGAGGGACCAATGGTCTGAAAATGCCAGACCATTGGTCCCTCTAGCTGTAGTTGTAGAGTGAATTCCTACCTGAAGAGACTTGAGTTTGGACCTGGAGCCTTCTACATGCAATGTGTGTTACTCTACCACTGAGCTGTAGCTCTTCTTATGACCTAACATTGGGAAAATTGCTGGAGGAGATAGACACAAAAGGAAGTGTTCCATAAAGATTCTGAATATTTTGTCAGTCTTCTCATCTCTCAGTTGTGACCGCTCTTATCAAAAGAGGAAGGGTACCGGATGGCACATCTTTTTATACTAGCATGGGTTTTGTGCAGATCTGCAATGGCTTTGGAAAATCTACAAATTTTTATTGCATAGCAAATTTGGAACAAAACAGCAAATTTTTATTGCATAGCAAATTTGGAGCAAGAACACATAAGTAAGCCCCATCTTGCATTTTATACACAAATGTTCTGTTTGTTCTTGAAAACCCTTTGCCTGTTAAAAAATTAGAACTATTCATAATTCTAGGATGTGTTTCCTATGTATGCTTAACTTAGAGTAAACACCCACTGAATACAGTGGGACTTCTCAGAAATCATGCCTGGCATTGTGTTACCAGGATCTGTAGCAGGGCTAAAAGACCTCTGACCAAATATTAAATATATGCAGCTATAATTGATGTTTGCTGCATGTGAAATAAATGAAACTGAGCACTAAACACAACAGGGTACTATTTTGATATCTACTTGACAAGTGTTATTATAGAGAATTAAGTATATTTTAACTGATAATAATTCTAGCCTTTGCCTGTATAGATTCCCATATAAAGATTCATCACTAGTTACCTGTGCTTAGAGAAGGTTAATGAGTCTGAGTGGATTTGGCGCTGACATCATAGTTTTTATGTCTCTTCCCCCACAGTAGATTTCGTATTCAAATTTTAAGCCAATATGCATTCTAGTGTTTGCCCAACAGAGGGCTCCAATTCTAAGCAAATAACATGTAAATTTTACAAAGTAGAGTACCATATTAAATTGTCAATGCTTGTTGCTTCTGAAGTAGAAATTTCAGTTATTCCTTAGTGTACATTGTATAGCCACATGGACAAGCACTACAGTTGGATGTAGAATTGTTCATATTCTAACTGGCCTCTATGCATCTAATAAATATCAAAAACAAATTATGCAAGAATTGGTTTTTGGAAGAAAGAAAAAAAGTAAGTTGTAGAATAAGGCACAACTCTTCCCTGGATCCATTGCTTCCTATGCTCAGAGTGCATTTGAGTGTATTCTCTTAGTGTTCTGTCTAGAGGTACACAGCTGTGTGTATGTACTGCCTCTGGAATAAAAGGTCTAGATTGGGATTTTGATAAATACATGAATAATATCAGTTGCAGCTATTATACAACAGATAGTAGATGGGAAGTGACTATTCTATGAATTGGTAAAGGCAAAAGCTATATACTGTATAATTAATAGCACGTTCTGTAGTAAATATGAACAAGGTATGCAATTATATATTATGGCATTAAACTGCATTCACCGGGAACTATAAATGTGTCCCTTAGTAATTTTTTTGTTCCCCATTGAAAGTATGGGAATGTAATCTGATTACTTTTTAGCAAAAGGCAAAGAATGTGTGAGACAATATTATATCCTGAAAGTTGTGTTTCTGTTCAGATTCAGAACTTCTGTGATCTGCTGATTGCTTAATCCCAGGCCATGGAGTGTTTGCTTGAGACAGTACGCCAGACCTCCTTGAATACCAATTAACATATAAGTACAGGGTCAGTACAGATTTCAGATTATAGTTGCAAGCAAGTACAGTCAGTTCAGCACTTTTTTTAATAAATACCTTCTTTAGAAGTCTCAAGTATAAAAACTAATCAAGTACTATTGTTCCTTTTGGATAATTGTCCACATACATATGAAGCTAGTTCTATTGTGGCTGTAGCAAGAGAAGAGAGGGAAAGACTGGGGTGAAAATGGACCATAGCTTTTATTGGAATCCAGATAGTGGCAGCTATTGGTTCCCATGTTAGGTGGCCAATCCACTCTGGCTTTTAGATCAGACTTTAAAGAAGCAAAATGCTGACCCCATCCCCCAAATAACTTGAGCACCTTGGCCATCTCTATTAAAATACAAACTCAACTCTGGAGCAGATTTACTTCCCCACTGATATGGGGAGTTGCCAATGAACTCAAGATCATAATTATGAAACAAATTCAACTGTAGGAAAGATACAAGACATATTGAAGGAGAATGATGCAATACAGAGTTCACATGGATTGATGATAATCGTAAGCATCAAGAGCTAAGAGAGATTTTGTGGCACACATATTGCCCCTCCCCACGGCTCTTAAGGAGAATTTTTAAAAAGGCTTACCAGAGCTGCTTCCCAATTTTCCCTCCTCCAGCTCCTGCCCTTTACATATTCTGGAAGTAGCTAGTCCTGGCTCCAGTTGACTCACTTCCCATATCTTATCTCCAGCATTACCCCACTCTATGCAACCACATCAGCATTGGGATGAAACTCCAACAAGTATTTTTGTCAGAACCTCAGAGGATTTGATGGTCTCGCCTCCTTTTCCTTTCTTCATTTATGTAAAAGTGTTTCTGTTCTAAATAACTAAATAGAAAGAGAAGTAGAAGGATGTTCTCATTTACCTTTTACCCCCATCAGTACTCCTGCTTTATTGGAGGGAGGAAAATTGGTTTGATCCAGACACATTTATGCCAGCATCCCTCTGTTTAACAATGCTGACAATTACAAAATAATGTTGTCTTAAGCACATGTATTAGAAATTATGGTCCACTGGAGAGAGTGGGACTTGTTTCTGAGTAAGCCAGTGTGGAACTGTGCTCCTTGTTACGCGAAAGCTCCTAGCAGTCAGCATACCAAACTGAAGTGAGCGGGTGTTTTGGGAGGAGCTGGACTTTAAGTTGATTTTAATTTGACTCAGCAGTGCAGGACTTCATTTTATGGATCTGCAAACAACACCTGTCGTTGTGGCCTGGTGAAAGTGTGTGGAAGGTGGTGCAGTGAATGCTAACAGGCTTCTTCTGCACTCGCTTGTGGTCTCTTGGAGGCACAGAACTTTACAAGGAAGGCTTTCATTCTAACGCTTCCCCCCCCCCCCCCCCCCCCCGCCGCCGAACTAGCTCAGCCACTTCCTCTATTTGGCTGCTTATAATGCTTTACTTGACAGTCATCTACTTCAATACTGCATGCAGCCGCCAGTTGTAGGTACTATTTTAAGGTTACTTCTCATTTACTTGGCTAAAAGGAGACCAGTTAGTCTCACATTGGCCACTTGTTAGCTTATGACAACTCTGACTTTGACTCTGGCTCCCCTCCCCCACCCCAAAATCCCTTGCTCAGCAAATATTTGAACCTGGCCAAGTTAATCATGAAACTGAGATCTTTATCTTGGAGAGACGTGCGCGCTACAGAGAACTTTTAAAAAAAACTGTTAAAATCAGTGATGAAACAGAAATGAGGAGATAGACCCAGTCAGCACAGAAGTTGATTCTTTCCAAAGGTAAAAGGACTTGGGGTTTTTCTGATTCTGCAGCTTTTTCTTCTGGATTTAACGCACACAGATTGACAACACCAGTGGATATACTTTTTCTTGATTATTGCAGGAAAGCCTTTGGATTTAAGGATAGTCTGTTCTAGATTTTTATTTTTATGTTGCCCATTATGTGGAGTTTTGAGCAGAGATCAAGATTGTGTCAGATTGTCAGATACACATACTTAAAGGGGTGAATGTATGTCATGTATGCTATACAAAGTAAGTAACTTTTAGTTTGACTAGAAAGAGA